ACATTTAGGGATACAGTACAGTTACATTCATTGTTGGGATCATGTACCTTTACATGGCAAATCTTGATTCTCATTTTTTTCCCCTTACCTCTGCCCTCCCTTCCCCCCCTCCTCCCCTCCCCATCTACAAACACTTTATTTTCATCTTTTCATTCTCTCACATTTTTTTCTTTTCCCTTTTTGTTCTTCCCCTACGTATCACACCTTCCCTACACCTTTAGCTCCTTTCCTCCCATTTCTAAAGGTCAGTAATCTTATTAGAATCTTATGCATTGTTGCAGAATATTCACACCAGGGAAACTATTTGGTATTTACACATGTGGGACTTATTTATTTCACTCAGGAGTATATCTTCAATATGTATCCATTTTCCTATGAATGAATCTATTCTCTCGCTCTTTATGGCTGAGTAATATTCCATTTTATAGAAAAACCACATCTTCTTTATCCAGTTTCCAACGGATGGGCAAATAGGTTGTTTCCAGGATTTAGCTATTAGAAACTGTGCCGCTATAAACATGGGTGCACATACTTCTCTGTGATATGATTCTTTTAGTTCTCTTGGAAAGATACCCAACAGAGGGATGGCTGGGTCAAATGGAACCTCCAGTCCAAGCTCTTTGAGGTATCTCCATATTGATTTCCATAGTGGTTGCACTAGTCTGCACTCCCACCAACAATGGAGGAGGGTTCCTTTCTCCCCACAACCCCGCCAACATTTGTTATTGTGTGATTTCTTGATAGCAGCCATTCTTTGTGGGGTGAGGTGGAATCTTAGTGTTGTTTTCATCTGCATCTCTCGAATGACCAGTGATGTGGAACATTTTTTCATATATTTTCTTGCTGCTTTCACTTCTTTGTATGAGAAATGTCTGTTCATTTCGGATGCCCATTTTTGGATCGGGTCTTTATATTTGGGGGGACTGATTGTTTTGAGTTCTTTATATATCCTTGATAATAGTCCTTTGTCTGAGGTACAGCTGGTAAAAATTTTTTCCCACATTGTAGATTGTCTCTTAGTTCTGCTAATGGTTTCTTTTGAAGTACAGAAGCTTTTTAGTAAGATGAGATCCCAGTTGTTGATTCTTTCTGCTAGTTCCCGTGCTACTGAGGATTTGTTCATAAAGTCTTTTCCTATACCAATGTCTTCCAGAGTTCTACCTAACTTACTTTCCAGCAAGTTTAATGTTTCTGTTTTAATATTTAGATCTTTAATCCATTTGGATTTTAATTTAGTGCTGCCCATGTTTCTATAGAGCTGTTTTTCCTTTCATCTCTTTTTGAAACTGTAGTACAGTTTGCAAATACAAGTTGCCAATATTTTTAATATTTGTCTTTTTTCACTGTACTTATTTACTATTTATTTACTTATTTTCTGCCAAGCAGGCACTCTTTTAAGTTATTGTTTTTATGTAGTCAGATCTAGTCTTCTTTTCTCATTGCTTCTGCCATTAGAGCCATAGTTGGGGAAGTTTCTGCAAGTCTCAGGTTGTAGAGAAACTTACTCATGGTTTCTTCTCATTTTTAATGGTTCTTTTCTTTTGAAATGCACATTTTTGTTCCTTTGTTAGTGTCTCCACAGCATTTTGATAGTCATTCTCCTGTGTGATTGGCTCCTTCTTGTGTGAGTGTAAACCTCAGAGACTAGCTTGTGCTCTCGCTCCAGTGGGTAAGCTTATTTTCAGGGAGAGGAATTGAAACTGGGGGAAAGGAACCTGAGTGACTCCCTCCACCCTCACCTGGAGGTCTCTTGTCACCCTTACAGGCTCAGAGACCAGAGGGCAGGAAGCCTGTTACTCCTGGGCACCCTGAGCCCTTGGGCACCTGACCTGGCACCCTCATTCTTCTGGGCCCTCTGGTGATGCTGCCTTAAGTATGTCCCTCTGCTTTGCTCCCATCCGAGTGGCCTTGTAGCAGCTGTCTCTGTCTCCATGTCCTGGGCAGGGACTTGTGACTGAACATCATCTCCTGGGGTCCTGGGGGAGCCCAAGTCCAAGGCCCCAGGTGTGGCCTCAGACCCCGTGCTGTGATGTTGCTGGGAACCACAGGCCTTGAGCTTATGACCTTGGCTGGGTCTTTGGCTGATCTAAGCTCCTCTGGGCAGCAAAGACAAAAGGCACTGAAGACATCCAGTGTGGGTTTATCATAAGTGTGGGAAGGAGGGAAGGAGGACGCCTGGTGATAGCAGGTATCGCAGGCAGGGCTGTAAAGCAATGCAGTGAATCTTGTTGAAGGGAACAGACAGTTAATTCAGAGGGGAAGATTTAGTTGGAGTCCAGCTGGAAGTGAACTCAGCAGGGCCCCGCTGCTTTACAGACTAGGACTTAGTCTCAGTAGCAGCCATCACTGAGGGGCTATACTCACTCAGCTCTGCTATCTGACTGCCCATTTGAGTCACATAAGGCTTTGGTACGATCCCTAATACAATACAGCCAAATTATGGAAGGGCAAGAAGCTTGTGCCACTTCAGCCTGCTTGTACTGGGCAGGAGTGTCTGCCACATCAAATTATTACCCTTTTGATCCTGCGGTCATCCTTTGTCCATTCCCTCACCCAGCCACTACCTCAGCTTGCTGTGTGGTGCCCAATGTGGGCAGACTTGGTGCTTGCCTGGGGTGACTCCAAGCTGTGGGCAGCTGGGCATCTGTCCTGGGGCTCCTGGTCCTGAGATTGAGCAGGAGCCAAGGTGGGCAGTGGAGGGAGCTTGGTGTCCTGTGGGAGCCTGGGGCAGCACCTTCCTGCTCCCCTCCAGGCTTGGTGCTGAGACCACCCCACCCCTTCCTCGCTCTTCCTGAGGCCCTCCCTGGTATGAGGTCAGTCTGTGACTAGGCTGGATAAGCTGGACCTTTCCACAAGTCATCAGCAGGCCAGAGGTGCCTGGGTTTCTGGCAGGCTGAGCGGCGGGCATCTGGTGGTCTCCATCACCCCTGAGCGCTTCCTAATCCATCCTTCACCTCCCCAAGGCCAAGTACCCACTTGTCAGACCAGGCCGTGGCTGCCAGAGAGGCTGAGCAAGGCTCTCTTCTGGATCCAGCTGGTGAGGCACAGTGGTGCCATTCCAGCCCTGGATGGGAAGTGTGGCCATCAGGTAATCAGGTCACTGAATCCCCACTGCTGGATGAACTAGCCCCAGTTCCTCTGCTCCCCCAGGCAGCAGTGTGGAGGCCACTCTGTCAGACGATCATACCAAGGCCAGCCGTCTGCTCTGGCCATGTTATGGCCCATCATGTGGCTCATTTCCATGCCATTCACTTTTACGGCACCCTCACGAACTGGGCCATCTTCATCTGTCCTCAGGAAGTTTACGGAACAGGGCCAGGCTTTGTCTGTCTGGGGGCTGGCAGGTAGTTGTGCTGTCATCAGGCTGGGGACCCTGGGATGCTGCTTCTCTTGGACTTCCCCACGTCCTGTGGGGAAGGCCACCCCAGGGCTGCTGATCTAATGCATGGAGGGGCAGGAAGGCCGCCAGTTCTCTTTGTCCTTTCCTGGACCAGGCACTGTGGGGCCGAGGTGCCCAGCTGAGGGGCTGTGGCATTAAGGCCACACAGAAGCTCATGGTCCTGAGGGAAAGCTGGGCACTGCCTGGTATGGCTGTGCTCGGGGGGCTGCTTTACCTCCCCTCGGACTGGTGCCTCAGTGCTCGGGCACATCCAGGGCCGTGTACTGGGCTACACTTACTCCTCTTGGCACTGGGTACCCCAGCCCCGTGTGTGAGGGTCGATGGGGAAGGCTTGGGAGGCAGGGAGGTAAGCCTGACTGATGTGGCCTGGGAAGTGGAGGTGAAGCAAGATGACACGGGATGAGCTCTGGGGTCAGAGGGGCACATGGAACTTGAGCTGGGACCTGATTTTGCAGGGTCTTGCTCCTTAGCTTCCCTTCCTCCTAAGCAGATGACAGGTGCTGCCTTGGGGTGACACTGCCCTCAGAGGTGCAGTGGCTCCATGCCCTTTCCCCCAGGCTGCCCTATGCTGCCTGGTGCTGTGTCAGGTAAGGGGCCTGGCGGCAGCTGCCAGCTCCTGTCCTGTGTTCAGGGGTCTGCAGGGCTGGCTTTCTTTTCTTCCCTGGCCTGTGAAGAGGCTCACAGATGAGTGCTCATTGCTGCCCACCCTTGCCCAGGGGTTTGGTCCAAGAGTTGGCAGAGGCAGGAAGTGACCAGCAGTAGTTTGACTGTGGGGCCCAGGCAGGGAGGCGGGCAGGGAGAGGCTTCACCACATCCTGGCTGCCGTGTGATCTTGACAAATTGCTTCCTGTCTCCAAGCTCAGTGTACCTCATCTGGTGACTGGGTCCCAATGAGGTCTGTGGACCACTATATTTCATGCAGCTCTGGCAACATATTTCAAAGAGGCTATAGGAAATATTAGTCTGAGAATCTGAAAGATGTAAATACCTTTTTATTTGACTTTTTACAATTTTTCCAGAGGGCTCATGTCCTCGCTGGTGGGGTCAGGGACCTGCTGTGGCCACGTGGTGGTGCCCTGGGAGCTGGGAGCCCTGTGGGTGGGGGTTCAGCGGGTCATCACTTGTGTCACCGCTGCAGTGGGCACAGCACTGCCGTCGGATCCCATGTCACCTGTGAGTTTGTTAACTGGAGCCACTGTTAGTGCCCACTCCCTGCCCAAACCAGGTGTTTCAGAGCAGAAGCCATTGGCGACCAGTGGCCCTGAAGAAGGTGAGCAATGGCTGTCCACTTTCTGCTGGTGGCTTAGGAGACAGGAAGTGGTGAAACACTGGCCCCGTTGCTCAAAAACAAAAAGTATCTTTAACTCCAAAGTATATGCTGTGATTCTGGCTTTACGGCTTGTCTCCAAGAATGTTGCTCCCTGTCACTCCTCCAGGGACAACAGTCCGGACTCTGTGAGCCGTGAGTTAACATTGACGTCAACCCCTTTCACCCATGTGCTGCCCGTGATGGAGCTCTGCTTCCCCGGGCTGCGGGCGAGGTGGGCCTTTCCTTAGCACCTTCCCTGGGCCTGCCAGTGATGGGTGTCCCCTCCTGCAGGTGGTGAGAGGCTACAAGGCGACCATCCAGCAGACCCTGGACATCCTCTTCCTGCAGGAGGGCTCCGAGTTCCTGAGCAGCACTGACGCTTCCACCCGGGACTCTGCAGATCGCACCATTATTGCCTGGGACTTCCGGACCTCTGCCAAAATCTCCAAAGATTTTCCATTGAGCAGCACTGACGCTTCCACCCGGGACTCTGCAGATCGCACCATTATTGCCTGGGACTTCCGGACCTCTGCCAAAATCTCCAACCAGATTTTCCATGTGAGAAGCCCAATTTGTTCCTAACCTCAGCTTCAGCCTTAGGATGCATTCCTGTCACCCTGGCCTACCTGGGGCCCAGTCCCTTCCTGTGAGTCAGGGTTCAGCTGCCCGAGGCCCCCAGGACCGGGTAGGTTGCGATCAGGTCCTGGCACTCTGCAGGTGTGGGGAACCTTCTACAGCTCCCAGTGCTTTCCCACTCCTGCCGCCATCCCATGGGGCTGGCAGCCCTGATCAGATGGAAGGGGCAGAGGGCCATGCAGCCTGATTCCCACTCCCAGCCACCTGAGCAAAAGGGTGTCTGACCCTTCCTTGCTCAGAGTCTTTGGTGGGCAATGTGCTGCAGGGGCCATGAAGTTAAGAGCACCCACGTTAGAGTCCTAGCTTCACCACTTGCAAGGTGGGGACCCTGGGACCAGTGTTTCTCTCCTTGATTCCTATTAGAAAACAGAATGAAAGCCAGGTGTTGTGGTACACACCTGTAGTCCCAGCTTCTTAGGAGGCTGAGACAGGATGATTACCTGAGCCCAGGAGCTGAAGTCCAGCTTGGGCAACCTAGCAAAACCCCCATCTTAAAAAGCAACAACAAAACCAATGAAAGGGGAAAGAAAATTGAACATGGTATTACCTCACAGAGTGATTTTGAAAATTAAGAGAAAGAAAATGGTCATAAAGGGAGTAGTGCGGGCCTAGGCACAGAGCGCTTCTTTGTGCTTCACCTGTCATCACCAACACTACCACCACCACCACCATCACTATTACTTCTGTCACCTCCACTATCACCACCATCACCATCACCGCCAGTTATGGCCACCACCGCCATCACCATCATCACCATCAGCATCCATTACTATCCCGCCATCACTCTCACTACCGTCACCAGAATCATCACCACTAACACGTTCAGCATCACCGTCATTATCACCATGATGATCGCCCTCATCTCCACACCACCATCATTATCACTAGCACCATTGTTTGAGTTTTCTAATCTGCCACAGCTAATGTCTGGTGCCCCAGCCCGAGTGGAAAAGTACATGTGTGCACTCCTGCCTTCCACCTGCTGTCCTCCGAGGGCCCCAAGTGAGCCCGGCAGAGACACTTCCAGACTTTATGCTGGGTTTCTGGTGTGGTCCAGAAGGGGCATATCTGGCCTCTGAGGGCGTCCTGCCTGCTGCTGGGTCCCACGGAGCAGGGGCTGAGGCTGATGAGTACGTTGAAGTCCAGCCCAAGGCTTCTAATGTCCATGTAGTTCACCTGCTCCCACTGCCCTGAGCTTGGTTAATTTCGAAACTGGACAGCACACCCCTGGCCAGGCCTTGGTTACGGGCCCTGTGAGGGGTGGTACGGGCGTGTGGATCAGCCTCTGTCCCTGGGTGTCAGATGACCAGACTCATCTCTCACAGGCCTGGATAAATCCTGTGTGTTCTGCGTGGAGCCCAGGGAGGAGCCTTCCTTCCTCCATCTCCCTGGGGCTACCATGTTCTCGCTGGGGGCTACACTGCTCTGACCTTCACGGCCAGCACATCCACACCAAGTTTCCTGTGCACGCGGCCTTGGCTGTGTGTGCCAGGGCATCTGCTCCCCACTTTAGGGGTGCCTGGGATTGTGTTTGGGGCTGTAACACAGGGTCATCTCTTCCCAAGGTCCTTTAGTTAATCCTATCTGGGTTCCCCTTTTTTTGGCATTAATAGGTCACATTCACAGGTCACAGGACTAGGACACAGATATATTTTGGGGACCGTTTTGTAGCCTCCAATGAGGATTGCAGGTGACTTCTGGAGTCTAGAAAAGGGCACGGAATCAAGACCCCATCTCTGCTGATGTCCTGATTTTAGTGCAGCAAGACCCGTGTCAGACTTCTGACCTCCAGAGCTGTGTGATGATGATTGTGTGCTGCTTTGAGCCTCAAAGTGTGTGGGAATTGACTTCCGGTGGCCATGGAAACTCACAGAAACCCTAAGGCGAAGTGCAGAGTGTGGGCTGGATGCCTGTGGAAGGAGACACCCCCAGTAGAACCTTCTCTGACCCCCTGTTCCCTGTGTCCCCCAGGAGAGGTATACCTGCCCCAGCCTCACCCTGCACCCACGGGAGCCTGTGTTCCTTGCGCAGACCAACGGCAACTACCTGGCCCTCTTCTCTGCCGTGTGGCCCTACCGGATGAGCAGACGGCGGCGCTACGAAGGGCACAAGGTACCGTCCTGTCCCCAGGACAAACATGGAGCCCTGCTTCAGAGCCATGTAGGTCTGGTGGTGCAGGTAATGGGGTGGGACCCCAGCTCACGGACTCTGTCTGGGTGGTCTCTGCTTTCTGTCCTGGCAACTGCAAGCTATGTTGGCTTTTGTTTGCCCAAGGCCTGGACACATCCTGTGCCCAGCTGCTGGGCAAGAGAACGTGGGGCCACCTCAGGCAGTTGAGCCACGGGTGGGGATGGGAGCAGGCCAGAATGGCAGGGGCCAGTTCTACACCCGCCCTTTCTGGCTTGAGGTCTGCCTTGCCAGGCAGAAGGGGTTGGGACCCGGTGACTGTCGCTGTACTGGGCCTGGCCCCGTGTCCACAAGGCCTTGAGGAAGACGTGGGGCTTGCTCACCACCCATGTCCCTTGCAGGTGGAAGGCTATGCCGTGGGCTGTGAGTGCTCCCCCTGTGGTGACCTGCTGGTGACAGGCAGCGCCGACGGCCGGGTCCTGATGTTCAGTTTCCGCACCGCCAGCCGGGCATGCACACTGCAGGGACACATGCAGGCCTGCGTGGGCACCACCTACCACCCTGTGCTGCCCTCTGTCCTTGGCACCTGCTCCTGGGGAGGTGACATCAAGATCTGGCACTGATGGCTGGCATGTCCTGGCTTGGCTAGGAGGGAGCGCAAGTTGGCACCACAGAGAACTTCGTGTCAGACCTGGGCATAGGCTGCCTCAGTTTCCTCATCTGTAAACGGGACAGGAGCGTGTTTGTCTCAGGGTTTTGAGGGTCATGTGAATGAAAACACCTGCCAGGAGGCTGTGTGGCCCAGCAAATGTGTATGATGTTTTTTCTTAGCTTGTCTCAGCCACAGTGTGAAGAAGCGGCTTCCTCTGCCTCGGCTGGGATGGAGGGAGCTTGAGGGGAGCAGTCGCCTGCCGATCCCAAGGGTCCCCTGGTCTCACTGGTCCAAGCCCCCTTCCCAGTGCAGTGTGACCATTGGGACCTGAGATTTATGGTGCTGCAGGATGGAGTGATGCACTCCTCGGATGGCCTCGTGCCTGCTTCCCCGGGCTGTCCCTGCTGCCCTGCACAGTGCCTGTCCCGGAAAGGAGCCACGTGGAACCGTGCCGGGAGGAAGCCATCACAGCCCAGAGCCCAGGACTGAAATCTGGGGGCCACCCAAAGCCTGGGGGCTCTACCGGGGCCCCACTTGGAGGAGGGTGGCCCATTGCACGCGCGTCTCTTGAAGGAATGAGAGCCGTGTGAGAGCCTTTCAGCCAGCTCTAGCAGGTGCCCTGCTTCCCCCTGCACCAGCCCAGTGTCCCCTGCTTCCCAGGAGTGTCACTGCTGATGTCCCCCACCCCGCCTGCAGTGTCACCACTGAGCGGCTAAGCATCCTTTGTAGCTGTCCTCAGTCAGGTGAGGACAAGGTGTGGATGGCTGCCTGTCCCCTGGGCTGGCTCCTCTGTTCCCGCTGCCAGCTCAGCTTCCAGGCCCAGCCCTGTGTGCCTGGGGCATTGCTTCTCCCGGCCTCAGCTTTCTCATCTGTGCAGTGGGGCCCCACAGGGAGATGATGCGGAGGGCACTGTAGGTTGTTACCCTGTGACCTTCCCTTGGGGCAGGCGCCACCCAGATCCCTGCCTCTGAGGCCCATTTCTTCCCAGTGACCTGTGTCCCTGACCCCTAGGCTCCCAGGGCCCCATTCTGGCTGCTCCTTAGTGCTGGATGTGATTTCTCAGCCGAGGGAGCCACCGCCCTGCACCGGGCTGTCCTCCCAGGAAGCATGGCTGGTTGCTGTGTCTCACCTGCCTCTTGCCAAAGCTTTCTTCCAGAGTGTTCGTAAAGACTGACTCTGATCCTTGGCAAGGTGTTGGGGAGTTCACCATGTGCAATTTTTAAATAAGGAGGCTAAACTTAGAAAACGTGGAGCAGGAATGGAAAAGTATGGGCTCCCCCTCCACCCACCTTCCTGGGCCATGCTTACCTTCATCCTACCTTTAGAATCTGAAATGCCACAGCCGAGCCTGCTGCGGGAGAAAGATAGCTTCCTTGCGCGGTTCCACACAGGCTCTGTGTGCTGACTGTGTCTCGTGCGCCAGGCGTAGCTGCAACTTTTACTCTGAGTGGCACTTGTGCTTACAGCCCCTGCAGGGTGGCTGTGCTCCCCACAAGGGGAAACTGGCCCACAGGAGCCCCTAGCACTTCCTAGGGGGACATGGCCACCTGGGGGCTGAGGAGAGGTGGCTGGGGATGAATGGGAATAGCAAATGCCCAGCAGGGGCTCACTAGGGTAGAGGGGCTGCCAGGACAACTGTCCAGCAGCAGGGCAACTGTAACAGGTCCAAGACATCTGAGGCTGATCCGGAGGGAAAATGAGGGCTGAGTCCTAGGAGGCACCTGGGAGCCCTGAACAATTTCTGGAACTCCTCTGTTCCCGTTGCCTGAATCACTTGATAAACTCCTATTCATCCTTCAACACCCAGCACAGCCTCTCCCTCTGACCTGTCCCTTTCTCCTGGAATAGCGAGGACCCACCTCTTTTTGGATGCCACCGGCAAGCTTCAGGGCATGAACCAGGGCCGGGTGGTCCCCAGGGTGCCTGGAGGGAGCAGGTGTAAGGCCCCCTGGAGGAGGGGCTCTGTCCCAGGCTTTGCAGAACCCACAAATGTGTTTCCCTGGCACTCATGTGTCTGAGAGAACCAGGCACACAGAGAAGGTGGTGACACCAGTGGGAACTGAGGGAGCAGCCCCAGACTTCACACCAGGGTAGGCCAGGACCCAGGCTGTGCCCATCTTCCCAGAAGTCAGACAGGAGCTGGGAAAGAGAGCTCCGGCAAACAGGAAGCCACAGGAGCAGCGCTAGAAGTGGAAAATGTTAACAGCCAAAGCACAAATCCTCTGTGGCTGGGTTTGGCAGCGGAATGAATGCAGCAGCAGAGAGTTGGTGAACTGTAAGACAGGTCATGCCACAGAAGTGGGGTAAGACGAAGTCAGGGAGATGCTGAAGAGGAGGCCACAGCTCGAGGGTCCATCACAGGTCTGACGGGCAGAGAAATGTTCTTGAAAAGTAATAGCTGAAGATTTTCCAGGACAGATGAAATCTACCAACCACAGATAGAAGATTCCCTGTGAGCCCTAAAAGGGGACCCCATACCCAGACACTTTGGGGACACTGCGGAAAACTAAGTCAAAGCAAAGCTTGAGACAGCCAGAGGAAAAGACAGGACCCTGGAGGAAGGGCAGCACCCATGCCTGCAGGAAGCTGGGGTGCTGGGGAAAGACGTGCCATTCTGCCCCCCAGCTGCATGGGAGCAGGGTTGACAAAGGTCAAAACGAGAGCTTGTGGCCAACAGACCCACATGGAGAAATCTAAGGGATGTGCTTGGGGTGGAAAGGGAGTCCGGGATGCAAGAATGAGGGGTGGCCCAGCAGGTGGGCGGCACAAGGGACAGGTCCTGCCCAGTGGGCTGAGAGGACAGGAGGGCTCAGACCCAGGCAGGGGCTCCAGTGCTGGTCGGGGGTGGTGGGACCCCAGTTGCCACCCCTCCTGGGACCCGTGGTGCGGGGAGCAGAAACAACCCAAAGGCAGATTCTTTCCACTGGTGCCTTTTATTGAGTGCAAAACACAACACTGACTGGACGGGCATGCATCACAGAGAGGAGGGCGGGGGCGGGGGCCTCATACATCTGAGGTAGAGTACAGTGGGATCGGCGGGTTTGGGGGTGAGCACCGGCTGTAAGGGGCCCCACTCGGATAAGGGCCACGGAGGAGGGCGGGGTGTGCTGGCTGCACGGGGAGAGATGGGTTTTAAAACATTTCCTATACCCTACTGGGGTTTGTTTCCCCTCTGTGGACAGAGCTTCAGGGTCCCCTTGCCGCTGGCTCGCCCAGTGTCTCCCCACCACTGTGGAGTCCAGTATGTCCCTTCCTGGGGTCAGGCCCCACGTACCCTCACCGGAAAAAGAAAGAAGCTTTGTGTTGAAAACGCCAAGGCTGCCATCCAGGGAGCTGGAGGCCGAGGGCGTTAAGAAAGACCCTTTGTCTCTATAAAAATAGTTTCACGTTATAAAAGGGTTGCTCACCTCAGGCGGGGGCACAGGGACAGGGGAAGGTACTGCGTGGGTCTGCCAGACAGGGCTGGGGACAGACGGCACGGGGGCCTCCTCTCGGCTACACGGGCTGGGTGCATGGGGGTGTCCGGGGAAACCCTGTGGCGGGGCTGGGTGTGGGGGGGAGGTCGCCCCTGGGTGCCACCTGCTGGGCGTGGTGGGCGAGCGCTCAGTTGAGCAGGGTTCCGTAGAGCTGCG